CCCCAGCTACACTCTTTCCTTCCTTTTCATGTTCTGAAGATACACATCTATATATTAGTATTTAACAGGAGTTTATAACTTTATTGTAATTCCTAAGGAGGTAAGTGGGATTATTCTTAAATTTCATAAAGTTAATGAAAAAGTGAGGCAAATAGAGTTAAGTAATTTGTCCATGTTACTCTATGGAAAGTGGTATTCAAACTCACTATGTTGTACTGCTCAGGAACCTAAAAAAAAAGCAAAGGAGGACTTTTATTTATTGGTAAAAGTTTTGTTTTGTTTTTTTAAAAGTTTTTTCAAGTTTATTTATTTTGGTAGAGAGCAGGGTAGGTAGAGGAGAGGGCAGAGAGAGAATCCCATTGTGGGGGTTTGAACTCATGGAATCAGAGACTATGACCTGAAATAAATCAAATGGACACTAACCAAATGATACCCGGAAGTGCCCTGTTTTTGTTTTCTTTTAGAACAGTAGACTCTGGTTGGAAAGTGCCTTACCATAGTCAATCTCTCGGCCTACTGTCTGCCATCTGGTTACAGGAACGCCTAATTTATCCCCCTACGATGATCACCAAGTTCTTTAATTTCCCAGCCATGTTGGGGAAGGTTAGCTCATTACTTTTAGAGGCAGTCCTAATATATGTATAGGACTTGTTCTCTTGGGTGAGAGATTATTTGTTTTGGAAATTAAATCTTAATTGGAGACATTTCTTACCAGTTTAGGCCTGGTTCTCTGGAACCATTGTGATAATTATGATCCATCTTCCATATGCCAATCTTGTTATAATGTGTTGCGAAGACCCTTTTCCTATTTATAAGTCATTTGTAGTTTTCTCATAGCATCTAAACTTGCTTTCAGTTTGATTGGTCTAAAAACAAAGCAGTCTCTATTTTTTATTATGAGCTTTTGGTAAAAAGTACCTTGGTACCAGATCTGTGTTTTCACTTATGAAAACAGTATGGGCTCTTTCCACATTCTTTGGGATGAATCCTAATAAATGGTGAGCTGAGTCTCTACAATAGTATATGAGTCTTAGCGGGTTTTGCAGTTTCCTACTCTTGTAATCTAATGTCCATTAGACTATAGCCCTGTGCCACACTGTTAGAGCTCACAAATTTTAATGGAAGTTTATCTCTGGCATTACAGAATAAAATCAGACATTTTACTTAGCACACTAGGTGATGAACAACTCACAAACCTCAGACTTCCACCCCCCCCCCCCCAGCTACCTTTCCTTTTCATGCTCCCAGTTTGATACACATCTATATATTAGTATTTAACAGGAGTTTGTTATTTAAATCTTTATTGTAATCTTATGAGGTAAGTACTATTCTAAATTTACAGTTAATGAAAGTGAGGCAAATAGAGTTAAGTAATTTGTCCATAGTTACTCAAGTGGAAAGTGGTATTCAACCCACTATGTTGTACTGCCTGGTAGGAACCTAAAAAAAAAAAGCAAAGGGAGGACTCTTTATTTATTGGTGGTGTTTTGTTTTGTTTTTTCTTTAAAAAGTTTTTTTTAAGTTTATTTATTTTGGTAGAGAGTGTGAGCAGGGTAGGGGTAGAGTGAGAGGGTAGAGAGAGAATCCCATTGTGGGGCTTGAACTCATGAACTGTGAGATCATGACCTGAGCCGAAATCAAATTGGACACTTAACCAGCTGAGCTACCCAAGTGCCCCTGTTTTTGTTTTCTTTAGAATAGTAGACTCTTGGAGTTGGAAAGAGCCTTTACCATAGTCAATCTCCTTGCCTACTGTCTGCCATCTGGTTACAGGAACGCTTTCCATCATCCCCCTGACAGATGATCACCCAAGTTCTTTTTGAATACTTCCATTGCTGGGGAGCTAGCTCATTACTTCTTGAGGAATCCCATTATATGTGACTTGTTCTCTTGGGTAAGAGATTATTTCTTGTTTTGAAATTAAATCTAATTGAGATGACTTACCAGTTTTAGGCCTGTCTTCTGGAACCATTTAGGATAATTATGATCCATCTTCCATATGCCAATCTTGTTAATGTTTGAAGACCCTTTTCCTATTTATAAGTCATTTGTAGTTTTCTCATAGCATCTAAACTTGCTTTCAGTTTGGATTGGTCTGCACAAAGCAGTCTCTATTTTTTATTGCTTTGCAAGTGCAGCCTTGCAACAGATCTGTGCTTCACTTCTTATGGTTAGGCACAAAGTATGGGCTCTTTCCACATCTTTGGAGAACGAATAAATGGTGAGCTGAGTCTCTACAATAGTATATGAGTCTGAAGGGTTTGCAGTTTCCTACTCTTGTAATCTAATGTCCATTAGACTATAGCCCTGTACACACTGTTAGAGCTCACAAAATGGCTGGAAGTTTATCCGGGCATTTGACAAAATTGCATTTACTTCATCAGGCCACTAGGTGATGAACAACTCACAAACCCAGACTTCCAGGGGCAGTTGTATACAGGACAGTTTTAGATTGTAGTTGGAAAGGCCATCAGAAGTCATTTGGTACAACCTTATTAAAAGGTCTTTTGGGGATGGGGGGAGGGGAAACATGTCTTGTGTATACTTTGTCTTTCCCAGCTTTATTCCAAATTTAAATATTAATTTGAATAGGGTACTTCTTTCTGAGTGATCTTAGAAAAGGGGCCTGGGTGGTACTTTCAAGGTTCTTTTGTGCCCAATTATGTATATGTATATTTCAAAGGTTTTATTTTTAAGTAATCTCTACCCAACGTGGGGCTCAAACTTATAGCCCTGAGATCAAAAGTCTCATGTTCTACCAACTGAGCCAGCCAGGTGCTCCTGTATTTTACCATAATGTAGGAATGATGTCTTGGCTTGGTTTAGGATTCTCAAATAGTAGTTCTAGCCACTACAAAGTCTACATGCAGCTTTCTTCTGTCTTCAGTTTCAAGTGATACAGATGGGAAGTCCAGTGCCAATAGGATTATTTTTCCTTGTAAGTAATTACCTGTCCTTTCTCTTTGGAAGTTTGTAAATTTTTTTCTTCATGCTTAGATTTCATCATGATATGCTTTGGGTGTGTTTCTTTTTAAAGTAACTCTGCTTGCCCCTTGTTAACCTTTTTTAGATCTAAAAACTTAAGTCTTTTCTTAACTCAAGGAAGTTTCCATCTGTTTCCAACCTTCACAGAAGAAGAAACTGTCCAGAAAGGTGACTTACTCAAGGTCACTCAGCTAGTTAAAAATGAACTTCAAGCAAATAACTTGACTTCTTTGATGACCTATATTTTCATTGTACTGAATATTGCTCTGTTGAGAGGGCCAACATGAAAAACTTGGGAAATTTTTTAGTGAGACACGAATTTTGCTGAGGGTCCGTGGGGACATGAAGAAGGACAAAGAGATGATAAAATTAATTATGATTAAAATGTGGCCGGCCCATTTGGGGGCTCCTGGGTGGCTCAGTTGGTTAAGTATCTGACTCTTGATCTCAATTTAGGTCATGATCTCACGTTTTGTGGGTTTGAGCCATGTTTCTGGCTCTGCAATGATGGTGTGGAGCCTGCTTGGGATTCTTCCTTTTTCTCCTTCTTTCTTCCCCTCCCCACTCATGCTTGCAAGCTCTCTCTCTCTGAGACTTTCTCAAAATAAATAAATAAAAATGTGACCCATTTGAAGAACTATAAAATTCACAAGGTATCCCAGTTATTGGAGTTAACCCAGAGCTCTAAAACTTAATAAAGCTAGTTTTGCAAGGGAGAAAGACTTGATAAAGCCAGGAAGTTTATTGAACACTTGGATAACTAGATACTTAGTTGTCAGGAGTTGGGTAAGTATGGTCATGCCCTATTGTAAATATTGGAAAACATATGAGTATCTGAAGGCTTGGAGACAGACATCATAAATTGTGTCTTATCAGTGGTCTGGTTTCTGTTTTGAGTTCCAGCCTGGGACCCTTTTCTGCTGGGAACCACCTGTCCCTGGCTCTGTTGATCTTTGGATTTCCCCAGCCCTCAGTCCCTTTCAGTTTTGAAATGAAACCTACCCCACCGGGTGAGGTCAGGTACTGAGAGAACTTTGACAGCTCATACCAGGTTGTTTTTTTTCTAGAGTCTGGTATGTGACTGTGTGAAGTGTAAGGCTCAGCAGGCTGTGATATAGACTAATTGATGGTGAATCACCTGTTGGGTAGGGCCCAGGTAGTGCCATTTCTTTGGGTAACCAGGAAAACATGTAGACCAAATATGTTGTCTTTCATCCTCAGACACTTGAAACTTAAGAGTACAGTCACCGGAGATCTGCCATGATCTCTCTGCCTTGGGTTACTACAGAAGGAAAGACATTGTTTTATTTCAGTGTCTTTTCTCCTCATTTTTAGAACCTCCATTCTTTTCAGGAAGGAGCCAAGTCCTTGGCCTCTTTCTGCTGCTCCAGCTTCTAAATGTTTATACTGTGCCTCCTGGAATTGCTGCTTTGATGTGAAGTGTCTCCTCTAGATACCCCTAGACACACATGCCCTGCCCCAACCCCTTCACAGAATTTAGCTTCCCCTTTTCCCTTTGTTGTGAAACTAGTTTCCATGATGCTATAGCACTTTGCTTGGAATCTTTATAAGTGGTACTGGCTCTTTCTGTAGCTCACCCCATACCACTTCCCCCTGATTTTACCTGACTGTCCCCCAGCCACATCCCTCAGCACTGCAAAACTGCTTCCAGACTTTCAAATACTTTTCCCCCTTTGAGACTTCTGCTGGCCAGCAAGGTTACCTGATCCTTATCCTTGAGTACAGTTAGCATCTGTACTCAACATGGGGCTCAAACTCACAACCCCCAAATCAAGAGTTATATGCTCTACTGACTGAGCCAGTCAGGTGCCCCTCATTCTCCCATGTTTGTTTAAAATTTTAGTGTTTGACCGCTCCTCCTGGGACTCTGGCCCAGGCTAGGGGATTGGTGGTCAGATTTGGCCTGGGTCTAGTGACTCAGGGTAGACGGTGGAATTAGGGAGCTTGGTGTTAACATCTCAGATGTGGGCAGATGGGAAACTGTAAGATCTGAACACCAGAGCCATCTGGGGTGGAAGGGACAGAGAAAATTTAGCATCTGAAGCAAAGGACATCCTTTGTAGGTTCCCTCTTCTGCTCATTTGAAAAAAAAGGGGCGCCTGGGTGGCTCAGTCAGTTGGATGTCGGACTCTTGATTTCAGCTTGGGTCGTGAACTCGCAGTTTGTTGATTTGAGCCCTGCGTCAGGCTTCATGCTGACAGTGCAGAGCCTGCTTGGGATTCTCTGTCTCCTTGTCTCCCTCTCTTTCTTCCCCTTTCCCACTTCTGCACACCTGTGCTCTCTCAAAATAAATAAATAAAAAAATTTTTACAAATTAAGTTTTTTTTATAACAGTTTTAGGTTCACAGAAAAATTGAGGGGAAGATAACAGAGATTCCCATGATTATTATTTTTAAGTAAGCTCTATGCCCAGTGTGGGGCTCAAACTCACAACCCTGAGATCAAGAGTCACATGCTGTCTTTCTGCTCCTCTCTCCTGCTGCGCACGCTGTCCCTTTCTCTCTTTAAAACAAAACAAAACAAAAAAAGTCACCTGCTCTACTGACTGAGCCAGACAGGCACCCTGAGATCCCCATTATTTTTGAAAAATTGATCTTTAATTTTATAGGGAATATAGTAATATAATCTAAAAAAAATGAAAATCGGTAGACATTTTGAATTCTCTTGTTCTCCTCCCATTCTCATTTCACTTATTTTTGTATTCCTCAAAGGTGGTAACCTTGTTAGTGTTTGAAATGTAGCTTCCAGACATTTTCTTTGTGTTTACATACATGTGTATGAACCCAGAAAAAGAGTTATTTTTGTGTTTATACAAATGGGGTCACATTTTATGTATTATTTCAGTATTTCTTTGATTCAGTAATGTACCTTGATAATATTTCATGTTGATACATAAAGATAACTTCTCCTTTATTTTGGCTACTGTGTAGTTTTTTGTATAATAGATACACTGTGTATAGCTACTTTCCTATTGAGAGACATTAAGGTATTTCCATTTTGATGCTATAAATGATTCTTGTTGTGTTTTAAATGTTAGCATTCTTTCCTAGGGCTTCTTTTTTCTTTTTCCTCATACTCTTCCTAGGTGATCTCAACTTCTCTGACAGCTCCACTTAACATCTACACATGGATGATGCCCAGATCTTTCTATGGACCACAGTATCCAACTGCTCATGTAGACAACATCACAAGGATGTTTTGCATACTCGGCAAAATGCAGCCTCCTGCTCTTCCCCACTTGCTCATCATCCATTGTCCTCATCACATGTAAGTAGCACACTCTTGATAGGCCCAAAGCCTGGTAGTCATTCCCTTCCCCTCGTACAGCCAGCAACCAGCCTGTCACTAGGACTTTTCCTCCCCATTATTTCTTGGATCCAGTTGCTTTCTTTCCTTCTTCATTGTGGGTACATTGTCCCTTAGTTTTCTGATTTATAAAATAGAGTATTTGTGAGTACTAAATAAATTAACACACATAAAATGCTTAGAACAATAGATTGGCACCCAGTAAGTGCTATGTGAATATTGATTATTGTCATCATCATCGTCACCATTGTTGTTGGGGTCTTCTCATCTTAGTGTACATAATCCATTCTCATATCTACCTCCAGTCTTGATTTTATCCTTCCCTACCTCTGTTCCATTCTGCACATTGTAGCCAGAGTGATCTTTATAATATATACAAATGATCATGGTCTAACTTTCCTGCTTAAAAAAACTTCGGTGATTTTGCCATTGGGCTTTTACATGTACTGTCACCCCCATCTGGAATGCTTTTTCCTTGGTCTTTGCATGGTTGTTTGTTTTTTTGTTTGTTGTTTTGATATACCTGTTTCTAAATGTCATCTTCTCAGAGAGGCCTTCCCCTGACCACCTAATTATTCCAAAGTAGCCATACCTATTCTTTCTATCACATCACCTTTTTTAATCTTTGCATAACACTTATTAATACGTTATTTTTCTGTCTTATTCACGTATTTGTTTATAATCTCCTTCAATTCATTTTTTTTATTTAAATTTTTTTTTAAAGTAGGCTCCACACCCAGTATGGGACTTGAGCTCATGACCCTGAGATCAGGAGTTGCATGTTCTACCAACTGAGCCAGCCAGGCATCCCTAGTCTCCTTCAATTAGAATTAAATTCTCTGAGAAAGACAGATACATGTTTTCACTCATGTGTGGAATTTGAGAAATTTAACAAAAGACCACGGGGGAAGGGAAGAAAAAAAAACAGTTACAAACAGAGAGGAAGGCATTTCATAAGAGACTCTTCAATACAGAGAACAAACTGAGGGTTGATGGGGGTGTGGGGTTGGTGGAACAGGGAAAATGGGTGATGGGCATTGAGGAGGACACTTGTTGGGATAAGAACTGGGTGTCGTATGTAAGTGATGGATCATGGGAATCTACTCCTGAAGCCAAGAATACACTGTATACACTGTATGTTAGGTAACTTGACAATAAATTCATATTAAAAAAAAAAATTTTCTGAGAATGAGGGTATTGTTTGTTTTATTCGCTATTCTCTTCCTAATGCCTAGAACAATGCCTGGCATGTTGTAGGCACTCAGTGAATACTTGTTAAGTGAATTACAAAACAACTTCGCATGTCTCAGGAGTCCCTTTTTGGTCTCCCCAGCATCATTTGCTTCAGAACACCTTCTACTTTGGCTTCCCTACCCCCCCCCCCCATCTCTTCAGATGTGTTTTCTTGCTGCAAGAATTTTTTATATTATGTTCCCTTTACTTAGAACACTTTTCCTCAGGGTGCCCAAGTGGCTCAGGTTAAGTGACAGTTTTGATTTCAGCTCAGGTCATGATCTCTTGGTTTGTGAAATCAAGCTCATGTTGGGCTCCACGCTGACAGTGCTCAGAGCTTGCTTCTGATTCTTTCTCTGCCCCTCACCTGCTCACAGTTGCTTCTTCTCAAAGTAAATAAACTTTAAAAAAGAAAAAAGGATCACTTTTCCTCAAGTGCTCTGCCACTGCCTGGGTATCTCCTATTCATCCTTCAAGTTTCAGCTTAGGTGTAACTTCACCTGTCTTTTTTTTTTTTAATGTTTGTTTATTTTGAAAGAGAGGGATAGAGAATCTCAAGCAGGCTCTACTGTGTGTCAGTGCAGAGCCTGATGCAGGGCTTGATCCCATGAACCATGAAATCATGACCTAAGTTGAAATCAAGATTTGTACACTTAACTGAGCCACCCCGGTGCCCCATGACTGTCCTTAGTCTTCCAGCTCTGCGTGCATTACCTTTAATTATACATACTGTAATTATTTGTCTCCCTTACTAGATGGTAAGTTTTGTTGGGCAAAGGCCTAGGTCTTGCTTACTATGTATTCTTAGTGCTACTGCTGTGGGCTGGAAGCGTCTCTTGAGATGAGGTGCTGGGTAGGAGTACCCGGAGTAGTACTTGAGGGCTAAGAAGTGTGCCTTAGAATGTCAGAGTAAGGTCTAGTCATTTGGCCCTAGCTCATTGTCATTCTCCTTATTCCATCTTCGGTGATTCCAGTATTTTCTTGAATGAGCCATCTAACATGCTTGAGATGAATCATCTAATACACTTGTCTCTCTCTCAGATATATTCACAAAATCAGGGTAGGTTTGGCAGAGAACTTGCCCATGGAAGGGAGCATGAGTGCTGAGGATAAAAGTTGGGGATCTGGGTAGGCAGATTATTTACTCTTGAGTGGCTGATGGCAGAATAACTGAGAGTGGAATGCAATCCTCAGCAAGGAAAGAAACAAAAGGCCTTAGGGATAAGGTGAGGCAAAGATGAAACAGGAAGCTGAATCATTAAGTCAGAAACTTAGAGAATCAGGATGGTGGGTGGAGTGTAAGAAAGGACAGGGCAAGCAATTCAAGATTAAGGCCATAAATAATCTTGGGGATTACGTAAATCATCTTTTGGCATTCTCACCTCTTTAGTGTGGAACCAGCTTTTGGATTAAAAGAAGAATCAGGTAGTTGACATATAAAGGTTTGAGCTAGATTTCACATTAGTTTGTATTTTATAAGTTAATTACCTGAATGTGAAATCCTCAGAAATCCAACCATGTACCTTTCTCCACACTTCAGTTTCTGCTCCGAAGAGCTGACTTCCCCTCCTTTTATTTTTTTATTTTTTTAAGTTTATTTATTTTGAGAGAGAGCGGGAGAAGGCAAGCACGAGCGGGGGAGGGGCAGAGAGAGGGGGAGAGAGAGAATCCCAAGCAGGCTCCACACTGTCAGTATGGAGCCCGGTGCAGGGCTGAAACTTACGAACTGTGAAAACGTGACCTGAGCCGAAATCGAGTCAGATGCTTAACTGACTGAGCCACCCAGGAACTCCTCCCTCCTTTTACATATACTAAGTTTAACTAGCTAATTTTCAAAAAAAGTTTCCTGTACAGAAGCCTGTAGCAATCTTGGTGCTCCCTTTAGGTAGGCTGAGGATATTCCCTTTACATAGAATGATCACTCTTTCAGGCTGTATCTCCTCCTACCAAACCATGCATAGGAACTGGCTTTAGCAGTCTCAGGAATTCAGGACTCTGCCTAGCCTGAATCTGTGGAATTTCTGTCTGAATTGTGGGGAAGGACATGGGAGTGTAGATTCTGTTGGTGAGGCATAGTAGTAGTGGAAGACTGGCTGGGTGTGCATAGATGTGAGGTTTGAAGCTGTATAGGCAGTGGGCTTCAAAGTTTCTGACCTGGAATGGTCTTTGAATGTATGGCAGTGTTAGTGTGGTCTAATATATGCCAAATAGAGAATCTTGGTGATTGGTGCCAGTCATTAGCCCTTAGAGGCATTCTGTATGTTTTTCTGTGTGGCCTGGAAGTCTTCTACAGACTGACCAGTAGCTGGCATCACGGTGGGTACCTGGGGAGAATCACGGGGATAGGAGCAGTACTTACTAAAGAGGGATATATTCTCTTTTGAAGGTTGGATGGAGTGATTATGTGCACATCCTGGGCAGTCTAAGGCCCAGTCACCTTGCCTGTGTGAGGCAAGGTATCTGTATTCCCCTCCTAGGGCTCTGCTGGGAAAACCAACCTAAGAGGGCCAGAGATCATGGCCACTCTTAGTGATTCCCACAGGAATGCTCCCCATCTTTGACTCCTCTGTTGTTTAAGCCCCATGCTCTGATGGCCTGCCTTCTGTTTTCTGCTTTGGTACCTTCAAATTTCATTATCCATTCTGACTTTTCTTTCTAGATTACTCCATGCCCAGCTTGATTCTTGGTTCTACATAGTCCTCTAATTTTGACATTGTCAGTCAGCTTCAAGTGTGGGCCTTCCTCCATGAGCCCTGTTTGTAGAGCTATGATTTTGAAGCTTTAATGCATCAGAATTACCCATGCAGGCAAAGGAGGAGGTTGCTGTATACTTACTTAAAATGCAAATTCCGGGGTGCCTGGGTGGCTTGGTTGGGCATCCGACTTTGGCTCAGGTCATGATCTCATGGCTCATGGGTTCGAGCCCCATGTCAGGCTCTGTGCTGACAGCTCAGAGCCTGGAGTCTGCTTCGGATTGTGTGTCTCCCTCTCTCTCTGCCCCTCCCCTTCTTGCACTCTTTCTCTGTCTCTCAAAAATAAATAACCATTAAAAATAAATAAGGGGCGCCTGGGTGGC